ATACCAGACGGGACGCCCACTAATGACCCTGTAACATAAGAAATACTATGATCAGACTGTGAAGGAAGGGACAAAGGTGTGCAATATACGGTTCTTCCACTCGAGTAAGAATTCGGTGCGTAAAGATGCAGAGCGACTGCTGCGGTGTTGCACACAAATCTTTGTATTTATATTTCACGGTCTTGGAGGCTGAATGTGCCTCATTTTCTAAATCTAAATGGAAGCTCCTCTTGTTAATCTGACAAGTCTTCTCTTTGATGTTGAAATCAGCTATTTCGGCCCCAGCCAACTTCTTGTATTTTACTCGTTAGTTTCTGTTATGTTTCCAATTTCAATTTTTGCTCCTTAAGCTGGATAGAGGCCTCTTTTTCCTCTGGACTTCAAGGAGGAAAAGCACAAAAACATAATCACAAGGTCGCTGACGAGGAGCATTCGAAGCTGACTTATATTTACTTGACTTATACTTGCCCGACTGCGAGACCAATGACCTGTATTCGAGCATCGTTCGATAGCGTTTTTTTTGCGCTATGACCTCTGACTTCATCAAATCTGAGCGCCCACTAAGCAAACTATAGTATTAGTGATCGCTTGTGTTCGGTATTTTTTGCTAAATGGAGCAGCTCCTCCTGAAATATTGCCGCTTTACCAAAAAAAGCTTGATTTTGTCGTCGTAAATTATGACGGAGGCAGTCTTGACACTTTTCATCAATGGTTTCCTGAATTCACTCTATTTTGATAAACCTGAAAAAATTTTGTAGTACGAATGATAAAATTACGAGGCCAAACTGTGCACAGAATAGGCGCACAATTTTGTGTCTGTATGTTCCTGGATTTCAAAAACTAACTTTTAAACATGTTCCAAAATGTAAGTGGATTCCACTTACAAAACTTCCGTTGATTCCGCGTACAAATAACTGTAACGTAAAATTTGTCGGCACATTTGTGTTGTCACAAATTCAGCAACAAGCGAATATAGCTAGTTGTTCTGGATTCCTCAACTGTAAGTGGATTCGACAAACTGTAAGTGAAATCCGCAAATGTGTCTAGATTCCCAATTTCGTTTATTACTCAACTTGCATACCAAGAATTAAAAACTAGAGCTGGAATTCTTATCATTAGCAATGCGGATTTCAAAAGCAAGGACATAACCATTGTCAGCGGAATCCACGAACAAATCTTAAAACACTGGTTAACTAAATCGGTGGATGTCATTTTTTAGTATTTGGGATACATCGAATAAATGAATAACTTCAATAGTTGTAGTCATTGGGTTGAGAGTGTTTAGAAACACAACGCACAGCATATCGCCGAATAATAAAAATTTGGGATTCCAACGATCCCAAATACTGGTCAGTATTTAGGATTGATGAAATCCCAAATATTCGAATAATATGGAATAAAAATGAAATAAATTCTTTATTTGGAGTCATTGGGCTTAGAGTGATTAGAAACACAACCCGGAGCATATCGCCGATGTCCCAATATTTGGAATTGCATCAATCTCAAATACTGGTCACTATTTGAGATTGATAGAATCCCAAATACTGGATTAATATGCAATAAATAAGGAATGAACTCATTATTTGGAGTCATTGGGTTGAGTGTTCAGAAAGACAATGCACAGCATAAGGCCGAGCTAGGTCAGTATTTGGGATTCAATCAATCACAAATACTCGTCAGTGTTTGGGATTTCATTAATCTCAAATAGTGGTCAGTATTTGGGATTGATGGAATCCCAAATATTGGATTAGAATGAAATAAATATGGAAAAAAATCATAACTTGGAGTCATTGGGTTTAGAATGTTTAGAAACACAACGCACAGCATTTGACCGATAGGTTAGTATTTGGAATTCCATCAGTCTCAAATACTCGTCAGTATTTGGGATTGATGAAATCCCAAATAATGAGTTAATATGGAATAAATATGGAAAAAACTCATTATTTGGAGTCTTTGGGTTGAAAGTGTTCACAAACATAATGCACAGCATATCGCAGAATTAGGTCAGTTTTTGGATTCCATCAATCCCAAATACTGAAGCTGGGTGCTTGACAGGAATTGAGATCGAACTTTAGGCATTTCAACAGGTAGCTGATCAATTTAGTGATTTAGTTATTCAGATTGAACTTGCTGGTGACCAGCTAGCAATCAAAAGATATAACTTTAAAAGCTACTACATATTTACATATATGTAACCGCACACAAAATTCGCATTCCACTAACACTTTGCGGATTCCGCTTACAGCTGCAGATTCCGCAACAGCTCAATTTAAATATACACATGTCCTATTATTTATTTATGGATTCCACAAACTGTTCTGGACTCCGTAAATACGGTTGCAAATTCCGCAAATTCGCCTATTTTCAGAGCGATTTTGAGCGGTAGTCTTCTAGGTATTTGTCTGTGGAATGTGAAACAGCAAGGAATATCAAAGAAAAGTGGCAATGTTGCGGATTCTGCGTTAAATATGATTTTGGCATGTTGCGGAATCCACTTACAATGCACAGAATGCACATTTTGGCCTCGTAATGAACAACATGACAAATACACAGGAGGCGACGCTACTAATGCCTCTTGACAAAAAACGGATTATTATTGGAGGAACGACATACGGGTTAAGAAGTTAATTGAATTGAAAGATGAAACCCGAGCACGGGTTGCCCACGATAGAAGATAATGCGCAAACATACACATCCATGCATGATTTGTATGGAAAATGACCAATCAGACGTGGCACATACGTTTGTTTCAAAAACCCTGAAAATAGCTTTTGAATAGATTAAATTAGTGAAAAAACGGTTTATCCTCCTTATGCAAGCTGTTGTTAAAATATGAAAAATTTTCACCATTCAAATCATACGTCGCAACATATATGGTGCTACGCATGGAAGAGATTTTTCACATCTTTTTCTCTGGAAAACCAAGAAAATAGAAGTTAAATAGTTTTGTTTTGAACAGTTTTTTGAAACCGTTATTCAGCCATCACCAGGTATGTTTTCTGGCGTCATCAGGTAAAGTTTTTTGCCTTACAGGTATATTTTTATACATCGAATATTAAAGTGCTTTGCTTGGGAACCAAATTTTTGCTCTGAACGGCAGAAAATTTTTTTTACTACCAACGTCTGAGGTCGTTCAGAGCAATTTTTGGAAACCCACGATAATATTGAAATTACTTGTTTATTCGGTTTCTATTTCGCGCCAATTATTGTTCTTTGTTAGTCGTACGTCGCGCCATATATGTTTTCATGGTATCCATACGTCGCGCCATGCATGATACCATAGTAACCATACGTCGCGCCATCCGTGATACCATTGTAACCATACATTGCAAGCATCCATGGTGACATAAATTATCAAAAGCCCTGGTAAAAGTATCAATATTGTCTAATTTGAAGCGCCCCATAATAAAAAATGTGCAACCATGCATGGAAAATGTGTTATTTAAACATAAAAATACGTCGGCAATTTTTCATGGCTTCCATGAAACCAGGCATGGTGCGACGTATGGTTGCACATTTTGGTCAACCCGGGAGATCACAAAATTTTCAACAAACCCTCGCGATAAATGAAAATGGCATCGAGTGGCAAGTTACGGAAAAATTCCCTAACTCAAAAAAGGCGCATCATTTAAAAAACACTACAACTTGAACAGATTGAGTTTCCTGAATCTAAAGCACTTATGCTCTTATCACTTAGGCTCTAAACAAAACAAAGTTACTGCATTAAGTATATTTTTATTCTTTACTATCTTATTGGGGACAAAAAATTAGCAACTTAAAGAAAATGACTTGGATGACGGCTGGTTAATTAGGGGACGACGAGAGGTAGTTGAACAGGCAATTGCACTATTAGGGTTTTTCCTTTTCAGCAGGAACTTCAAAACGTGTTGCCTCTTGTAACTTGTAGTTTTCTTAGAGAGCTTGTTTCTCTCAAGCTTATCAACGAGAGTCTTGAAATTACCCTTTTTACCCTGCCGTGACCCGACTAGTCGCCCATATTCAACTGAGACACCACTGGTTGATCGCACACTCGGCTGGGACCCCATTGGTCGCATACATATGGTAGAAACTAGCAAGAGCGTCTCCACTAAAATGATTAAACAATTAAATCGTTCGCAGTAGTTTTTCAGATGCAAGCAATGAAGCGACGAAACGTTTCATGTTTTAAATTTTAGTTCCATTTGCAAAAAAAATATTTTCTTAAACGAATCGGTTTGTAAAAAGGCATGATTTTCCTACGTAAGCTAATCAAGTAATGAAACTTCGAAACAAATCACGGTTTTTTCTTAGAGCGAATACCTTCGCGAAATTTGAAGTTTTTTCTAAACAAGCTACTGAAGCGGTGAAGCTTTGATATATGTCGAGCTAATTCTAAGAGCAAACCGATTGTGAGAAGTTTTTTTGTTTTAGCTAGTTTCTCAAACAATGAAGCTAAATTTTTTCAGTCATTTCAAAGCAGAATCAGTTCGCAAAATAGTTCAAGTTCTTCAAAGCTAGCTATTCAACTGACTCAACCCCCCCCCCCCCAAAAAAAAACGAGCAAATTGGTTCAAAAAATCTTAAATTTCAAATCGGTTTTTCTCAACACTGGGAAACTTTTTTTATGTTGGAATCAAGACTGAAAGGGCTTTAATATGATATATCACTCAACCCAGTCCAATAACTTGCGGTACCTATTTAGCGAGAACAAGAAAAGAGTTAAATACACACCAGAAAACCAAGTTTCTCTACATTTTCATTATTCGAAACAATAACAGTCTTTACTTCGTTGATCAATACTTCAATTGAAATTATCTTATGTTAAAACGAATAACAAACTTTTCAATGCATTTTTTTCTTTTCAGATTTCTCCATTTAAGGAAGTTTCTTTTAGTTTTAATTACATGTTTTCCGGTAACTATAAGCCATTCGTGTTAAAATATGCGGAAACTTTCGCAACTTGTTTACGTGTTGTTTCCAGCCTCAAGCAGCTCAATAGAAATACAAGACATTTTAACGGTTTTCTCAATTACTGACAGACAAATAATATAGCATAGAAAAAGAAATAGATTTATAAAGAATTTACCAATAAATTTAGCAGCATAAATGCTATAATAGAGTCTAGTAAAACAAAGTAAAAGCTAAAAGCACAGCTAAAAAACTAGTTGAATTCATTTCTTGTCTGCAAAAAATCTAATTCTCAAGCTTTCAGTACTATGGGCATTTCAGTTTTTGACCTATAAACTGCCGTTTTTTGGCCTTGCCAACGGCTTTCATAAATAGTGTTAACTATCGATCAAGAAATGTGCTGATTTAAATTATCCAAACAAAACGAACATTGGAAAAGTAAAACGCGTTTTTTTTTTCAAATTGGGTTGAGATTTCACAATAAGTGAAGAGAACAAAATTTCCTGAGAATTTTACCGGAAATACTATGAGGCAATTCATTTTGCGAAATTCGAAACCAAAAGTTTACCCCAAAAATGAGTCATTTTGGCTTGTTTTCAAAGAATCCAAAATTACGCTAAAACTTCTAAGTTAACTGATGAGAAAGTTATATCAAACACACAAGCGAAGCTGCGTTTCGCAAACACTAGCAAAAACACGACAAAAAGCAGCTCCATAAAGTACAACAAGAAAATTAGTCTCACGCACTAACCACTCAGCTACGGACGCTTAATGAAACACTAACACAAGCCACAAATAAAGCAGAGAACAGATGCTATAAAATTTCCAATGCTACAGATCGTGATTACAGCAAAGTGCCACCAAATACTTTATTGAACACTTCTATTTGCGACTTAGGTTAGAAAAAAAGAAGGTTCGTACTAATACGCTAACGCTCTCAAGCTCACTAGTGTAAATAAGCCTCTTACACAGCCCAACAACTATCGAGAAGGGTTAACACTTCAAAAATGTGCGCAAAACGTTTTAAATATGATTCTAATTTTGAGCTTGATATATTAAAAATGACATTTTGGCTATCAGTCAAATATCTTCTCTTATACAGATTTTTTTCTAGAACAGTGTTAAGCTGTGTAAGAGGCTTCTTTTGATATAAATTTCTTATGAAGTAACAAAGAAGTTTTAGCGTAATTTTGGATTATTTGAAAACAAGCCAAAATGACCCATTTTTGGGTTAAACTTTTGGTTCCGAATTTCGCAAATGAATTGCATCTTAGTAATTCTGATAAACTTCCGAGACACTTCTGTTGTCTTCACTTACTATGAGCTGACTAGGGCAATTTTGAACTGACTACAGAGCTGCATTAAATTATCCGAACAAAACGAAAAAAAAACTTAGAACGAGTCTTTCTCGAATTGGGTTGACTTGGGTCGCTTATTTTAGACCGAACTATTATGAGGAACATTTTTGTGCAAAGTTTGAACCCAAAAATTACCCTAAAATGGGTATTTTTGGCTCGGATAGAGCCAGGGTGGAAAAGAGCAAGTTTTGCAGAACAAATTGCACCATACATTTCACCTAAGCAAGTTTTTTAGAATCAACTCAATTTGAAAAAACCGCGTTTTATTTTCAGGCTTCATTTGTTTTATCCTGTTATTTAAATCAACACTGAAACTCATCTTGGCTTTTAGCACCGTTACATGATCAGATTAAGTTTTCTTAAGAATCGGGAAGAGTTTAGGACGCTAATCTACAGATTAACACAGCACCACCTGGAAAAGGGAAGGGAGCGAGCGGCAGGGTCTAGAGTCAGTCTAAGAGAGTTTTGCTGTAAAATCACATCCACAATGCCGCATAGTTTCCAGATATCTGGGCGTGTAGGGGTCCTCCAGCTGCAAACAGTCGTGTGTGGGTGTTGTCGTATGCGAGGGTGTAGATTGCATGCTTGTATTCGGAGGGTGGAATGTTGAGGATGTCGGAGATTGAACTGGCGTTCTCAGTCTTGAAAAAATGAAAATCGATTTTTACACAGAGGCTAATTGGAGCTTCGCACCACTTGCGATAGAAATCAAACATCAAAAAAAAACAAGTAGAAAAAAAAACAAAATATACAAGGTCAACCAAAACTTTCATGTTTCATAAACGATAACTAAGAGACTAGCTTAAGCTGGAAGCACTTGTTAGCTATACTGATAGCTGAATTAGTTGTTAGCTGAATTAGCTATACTGATGCGGGATAACATGGGTTAACTTCGATTCCGAAAATTGGCCCAAACCCATTGGTGTTTCTCTACTAAAATGAAAAAAAAAATCGAGAAAATGAAATTTTCTCAGTGACAATATTTTTCGCATAAAAAATTAAGCAGTCGCCGCTTCTACAGAAAAAATTCACGATTGAAACCTTCACCTCAGATTTGATACGGAAGTTTTTAAGTAAAAAAATTCTAAATAACGATCAGAAGTTCAAAAACTTGACATTTCGAAATCCATAACTTTTTTTCTGCAAAGAGTAGGTCATGGCCGCTTCAACAGATAAGATTCCCAAAACCGAGTTTTTCAGTGGTTGAACACGACTGAATGGCAGGGTAGTTTCCGAGAAAAATCAAAAATTTCCAAAAGACGCCAATGTTTCAAAGCTTTAACTTTTTTGAAGGCCATAAATTTTTTTAAAAAATCAGACATAACCGCTTATACAGGTAGACTTCCAATGACCTGTTATTTCGGTTACACTTTTGATCTCAAATTTGGCGGGATAGTTATCGAGAAAAGTCAAAACATTTCCAAGGAACGGTCAACAAATCAAAAATTAGACTTTTCCGAGGGCCATAAATTTTTGAGTTACAAAATATGAGCACAGCCCCTTATAGATGGGGATCTTCCCAGAGCCTATTCTCTTAATTGAACCCAAAAGAACTCAAATTTGGGAGGGTAGTTTTCGAGAAGTCAAACATTCTCAAAAAACGGTAACAAATTGAATTTTCAGAGAAACAACTTTCGTGTAAAAAAAATAGTCGTAGTCCATTATTCAGAGGCACATTCCACAACTCGTTATTTCGATTTAACCCACACTCAGATTTGAGAGAGTATTTCTCAAGAAAACAATTAAAAAAATCAAGTTTTTGACTTTTCCGAGGGCCATAAGTTTTTGTATTAAAAAAATTTGGGCATACCTACTGATTCAGGGGAGCTTTAGACGACGCTTTTTATCCGAAATCTCAGTATTGGAAATGCAGTTTTCGAGAAAACGAAAAAAAAATCCACAAATATAGTTCAAAAATTTGCTTCCTATATTTTTTCCAAGAATTTTTTCGAAGACAGAGGGAAAGTAAAAAGAGACTAGGGCATTATGCATAAACACAGGGGGCAGGCGATCTTTCCATAGATACCATTTTTTGAAAATCAGTAGAGTATATATGAAAAAATATAACTTTTGCTTAAGGTGAAAAAAGTTTTCCAAGGCGTCATTTGCCAAGCAAGACATTTGAATTCTAAATTAGCAATGGAGCAAAATTAAAGAAGCGGAAACAAAGCCGACATTCTTTGAGAAGACACCAATGTAGCCGAAATGTTTTTTAAAAGTTTTAAGTCCCCTGAAACTACAATTAATAACACTTGCAACAATCCTGGTACTTGCTGACAGCACCAAAAAGTTGTGATGCGGCAATTAAACCGACAAAACTTAAGCAGTCAAACGAAAGTCAGACCATTCAACTTTTACTAGAAAAAAATTTCAATTCATAGATCCTGAAAAAACAAGGTCCTACCGGGACTCAAATCGCAGACCTTACAGTGCAAAAGCAACCGCCTTACCTGCAGGCCAAGCAGGAGGGAAACTGAATATTTCTATGGTCCAATAAGAAAGCAAGCTCAAATTCCTGTAAGAAAAGTTGTTTACAGGGAAAAAAAAGTATAATTCCCGATTAAAAGATATTTGCTCTCGTCGCGGTAATATTAGCTATACGAAAGTATATGAGTCAACGAAAAACAAGACACGGAATTTCTTTTCTTATTTTTTTTCAAGAATTTGAAGTCATGTCAACTGATATTTCCATAAAAAATTTATAATACACGCCAGTTACTGACTTTAAAATACTACTAATCCAATTTTGAAATGATCGCGTTAATCAGATTGTTCCACAATCAGTGATTTCCAGTTGAAAAAGTTTTCCCATTTTCCCATTTACCAACTTAAATTTTAAACCAAATCGGTTTAACGACATTTTCTTTCGACTAACGCTAAAAAGTATATAAAAACTTTTCATATTGATTGTACATGATGCAACTTCTGAGGTATATCACAAGCAATTTTTTTCGGACGCAAGCAAAATGCATTAAATTGCGTAAATTACCACTTATTGATTGAGGGAACACGACTGAGTGAACACTATGAATGGCGTGGTAAAACAACAACTCTTTAGCGTAAATCAGATTCAAGATGCATTCCTAAAAAGCTAATGTTTGAGCCAAGATAAATTGATGGAAAAGGGCCTGTTTTTAGCCAAACTTGTCCAACCAATTGTTTATTGGTTAAATCAGTTTAACAAACCATTTTTAAATCAATTGACTTAAGCAATTCTTAACACTTGGAATACAGAAAGCCACCCAATTGTAAAAATTTAAAAACGCCCAATTAAAAATCGTATGTTCGTAAAATTTTCGTATGTTTGTCTCATATGATACTCAATTTGATGAAAACCTGGGACGAAACACAATTGCCAGCTGCTTTAAAATGGCAAAAAATTACTGAGCTGTAACTATGCAGACATAATTTGGGTAACGCACGTTGATCCGAGAAAAAATGTTCATGCACAGATGCGAGGCGGAGCTTCGCACCACTTGCCATTCAACACAAAGATAAAAAACACCAGTAAAACATGAAAAATAATGCAAAAAAATAGGTGAACCAAAACTTTCGTAGTCTCGATACAAGACAAATAGGGGCCCAGCTAAAACTGGAAGCGCCTGTTTGATCATTTTTAAATTTGTCATAATGATAAGGGACGAAATACATTATTTCAAAAATTGAACTTTGCCCATAACCTTAATTGTTTCTCTACAAAAATTAGTGAAAAGAGTGAAAACCTTTCAAATATTGTAATTTTTCCAAAGACAACATTTTTCTTACGAAAAATAAAATAGGAGCTGCTTCTGCAGAAAAACTTCTCGCAACCGGTTCTTTCGATTAACTTTTCATCTCAGATTTGATAGTAAAAATTAAGAAAATTCAAAAAGTTTCTAAAAACGGTCAAAGGGTCAAAAAATTGATTTTACACAAAGAACAGCTCGTGATCGCTAAATTGAAGATAATTTTCTCTATTAAAACTTAGACTGAGAATTGGCACAGTATTTTCGAGTTGAGTCAAAAAGTTTGAACAAACGGTCCAAGAATCAAAATTCTGGTTTTTCCGAGGGCCATCACTCATTGTGTTAAAAAATTTGTGAGTCACCACTTTTGAAGAAAAACTTCTCACAGCCTGTAACTTTGATTGAGCAGAAAAACTCGGATTTGGGATGGTAGTCCTGCAGAAAAATCAAAAATTTTCAAAAAAACAGTCAAAATCAAAATTTTGATATTTCCGAGAGCCATAACACTTTGTGTAAAAAAAAATGGGCACTGTCACGTATGCAGGAGCTTCCCACGACCCGAATTAAACCAAAAACCTCGGGTATGGGAAGATAATTTCCGAGATAATTCCAATAATTTCAAAAGGGCAATTAATTTATGGAAATTCTTTTTTGGCGTAGCCGCTTGTGCAAGTGATTTGCAACACCCATTCTGACCACTGAAACCAATATCTCAGATTTGGGAGGGTAATTTTTGAGAAAAATATGGATAAAATATACCCTCCACAGACTTTTTTGAAGGCTGATAGAGTGGTGAAGGAAAAAGAGGCTAGCGCATTATGCAGACACAGGGGGGTAAGCGGTTTTTCGATTAATACCTTTTTAAAACCAAGCAAGGCATTTAAATTTTAAATTGACAATGCAATAAAACTTATTAAGCCGAAACAAAGCCGACACTCTTTGAGAAGACACTAATTGATGCCCAAAAAATAATTTTTTTAAAAACCTTTTTTTAACCAATTTTCCCTGAAACTACATGGTACAAGAGACCAGGATACTTGACTACAGTACAAGAAAAACCGTGATGTGACAACTTAACCGACAAAACTTGAGCAGGTTAACACAATCCCGACAAATCAATTTTAACAGGAATTTTTTTTTTCAATGGCATACATACAGAAATCAGAAGTCGATGAAAGTCGGTTTGTTTGCAACTGATGAACTGCTAACGAACTAACTTTTCTCTCAATCAAGCTTTCTAAATCCGCAAAAAAAAAGTCAAGCAATAAAAACAAATTTCGATTTGCAAATGAAAAATCTCAGTTATCAAGAGGATTAGGATGAAAAGATGCTAGTATCGTCTTTTTCACTTTTCTTAAGGAGCAGAAAACTTTGGAGGAGATAGAAACGGAAAACTAGATTTAAATCATTCTGCTAGCACCTGCGACGGAAATGAAAAAAAAACTAAACAAGAGAAAAAAACAAGTACCAGAAACAAATAGCGAAACTGAACTAAATTTGACATTTAAAAAAATATTCTAGCAAATTATGAATAAGCGTTTTTAAATATATCTGATAGAACTTAAGTCTTCCTAAACCCAAGACTTTTAATTAAAAAATTATCATTCTACAAAAACATACAGCTCGAAAGCACTTGAACCTAAATTAAAAATCATTCGACGAAAAAACTGATCGAAATTTTGATAAAAAAATAGGGCATAACTCATGATTTCAATTACCTTCGCCGAAACAAATATGATGGAAACAACAAGCAGCTCAAGAACAATCGAGGAAAAAATTCTCTACCAACCTTTTTTTGAAAAACTCAACTGAAAAATTTCGAACATTGTTTCACGCTATTTTGAAAAATTTGAGTGGTTTTCAATGAGTGCAAAAATGAGTGGTTTTCAAATATACATTGTCAACGTTGAATCCACATAACAAAGAACGAAAACGAATAAAAGGATTAGATAAATGAGCCGACAGAATTAAAACCGATACATAATAAGCTGAAAAACAGCCAATTACTTTCAAAACATAACCAATCGAAGATCGGAAAAGAGTAATGAATGCAAGTAAACGTAAAAACACTGAAAAAATCTCAACTTTCGAATTTGAATGAAAACAATAGATGCCCTTTAAGCTCTTTGAATTTCTAGAACAATTTATGATTGGCGCTTTTTTGATAACATGAGCCCCACTAAAGAAAACTGGATCAATAGGTAAAGTTTTCAAACCGCTCGAAATCTAAAAACTAAATTCCACTTTCGAAACTACGTTCATTACTCTTAAAAATTATACCAATAAATAGCATCTACCGGCAGGGGGCGGATCTAGGATTTTCAAAAATGTTTCGAAATTTTGTCGACCTTTTTCAAAATATTTCCTTTAGGTTGACCAAATTGACTTTCCGAGCTCTCCCAAAGCATTAAAAAAGACCTTGTTTTGGTTAAATTTTCTGTGCCGCAGGCAACATTTTGAAGAAACAGGCCAAAAAAGCATTTTTAGGCACTTTTGGAAATTTTTGACCAAAATTGCGCTTTTTCGGCGCGCGCTCCCCCCTCAAAATTAGTATATATTGGCGCCAGAGGCGCCTTTAGAACATTTTTAGGGTCCCTCACCAAATATGGATTTCTCAAAATAGTACAAAGTGGGACCCTTTGGGTCGCAAGGAGGTCGAATCCCTGAGGAGGAGGAGGAGGAGGAGGAGGGGGGGGGGGGGGTGTCCGCACCCCTCTCCTAAATCCACCCCTGTCTACCGGCTCAATGCAGGCCCTATACAGGCGAAACAGGTATGCTGCATATTTGTATATAAACCATTTCATCGAGGGTAATCATCATCCAGATTCGCAGTCTTTAGATGTTGCTACTAAAGACTAACAAGACTACAATTGAGTTTTTGTCAAAAATCGGGGGCACTTTACGGCCTTGTTTTAGGAAATACTCACAATTCGACCATTTCCAGCGCGTAGATACCAGTCGATCCCACAATTGCACGATATGAACTTGCTAGCCGACAGGTCATAGAACCGAATCAGCCCCTTGCCTGTTCCTACTGTTAGCACGTCATCAACGGTGGCTAAGGAGCGAATACCTGAAAGAAATAGATTCTATTTTCATAACCAACAATGCCTGAAAAATTATGCTGTGGTGATTTTTTGACATACTGGTTTTATTGGATGAAAATGATGGGAAACACATACACAACAAAAGCAACCATACAAAGTGATTGGCTCTGAAAAACTCAGGAAATGTCAAAAAAAGAGGTTAAATGAAAATTAATAAAATCTGCACCATTACTGGAATCCATGAAAAAGATTTTTAATTATTCACAAACTGATGAAATCATAAAATGAATCCGGGCTGTGACAACAAAGCAGACATGATAATCAGACAGTTATTTTTTGTCAAGCGGAAATTTTTCCATTTGCAAAAAAAATGGCGTTGGCCGGATTCGAACTCAGGGTCATTTGTCGCCTCTAGCATGGACGATACCTCTGCACCATATGTGCAGAATAATATACTGAACTTACTTTGATTTGAAACCAAGTTATAAAAAAAATTAGTGATTCTGTTAAACAAGCTAGTAACCTGAAAAAACTCGAATCGCAAGCATAATACACTAACATTGGTTTTAAGCGTATGGATAATAAACCGACCATAGTACAACAAGTCAGCGGAAAATGACCAGAGCAGCCAAAAATTGAATCTTTTGTGTATAAAACTGCATAATTTCGTAATTATTATATAACCTCTACCTAACTATTATGTAACAGCTCCGTAATTCCGACTGGGATTTATCGAAGATGACAAATACTTCGGTTGGTTTAAAAGCCACTGGTCTGTTGAAGATAAATGTTAACTAGACATTTCTTGTAAATCTCACTTTGAACACAATGCGGGGTTTACTTAAAATTTTGATTAGAAAATATATGAAACATTGCCAACTGACAGTTGAAAAAAAGTAATGAACGCAAGGAAACAGAAAAAAAAACTGTCTATAAAATTTCAACTTGCAAATTTTAACAAAAAATCTATGCCCCTTAAGCTCTTTGAATTATACGAACAGTTTATGTTTCACCCTTTTTTGATAAAACCCTTCTTTGATAAAAAAAATCCTTTTTTTTTTTTAAAAAAAACCTATTTTGAGCTTTAGTCTCATTTCGAGCGAGTAGGTTTAATAAAAGAAATTTTTTGATTTGAGTAGTGAAAATCTTAGTTTATTCCAGGAAAACTAATTTTGAAATTTTTAAAAAAAACTGTAGAAGCTTATACATTTTTTTTTACAAATTAAAGTCATTTTTCTTGCAGATCTTAAGTGAATTCAGCATAAACGAAAACAGTCGTCTTCAAAAAAAACCAACAAAATGAAAAAATATATATATTCAGATGTCGTTCGAATAACGAGTGAAAGACCCTTAATATGCTATATCACTAGACCTATTCCGATGACTATTTGGGGTACCTGATTGCACGGAAAACAAACAAAAGCCTAAAACACCCGAAGAAAAGTCCTCCCCAATTTCAATGACCGGAACAAAAAAGTCAACGGACATTTGAAATGAAACTCAATACAGATAACTGAAAAAACTGCTTTTATAAAAACTTGTCCCGAACAATGCTCTTTCAATTTTCAAGGAAAATTCATTTATAAAATTCTATAGAAAGAAACTCAGATCAAACAAGTTTTCCTGCTATTAATTAGACGCACAAATAGCAAAGCTTTCGCAAAATTTTCAAAAATTTGAAATTATTGAATTTACAACAGGATCAAAACAGCAAAAAACTATTTCAACCCATCTCAAATACTAAAATCTTCATTTTATGCTTAACCCACGAAAAAATATTTTACTTAAGTTCATGAGCCAAATCTCCACTTTCCAGACAACTTTTGAAGAAAGTGAGCCATAAAGTTAAACTGAAACAAGTTTTGAATATTTGTACATGGAAGCAAAGCTGAGCTTCGCGCCAATTGCAAGACAAAAATGAATGAATATGATAAAGAGCAAATGAAAAGACAAATCGAAAACTTGAAAAAAATCATTTCTTGTCATAGAAAAAAAATGCACAAAAAGCCAAACAAACCCGTAAAAACGAGCCACCTGCACCATGAGAAACTTCAAAAGAGGCAAAGCCGAGCACCATTTGCAATATAAAAATGGATGAATATGATTAAGAGCATATGAAAAGACAAATAAAAAAAAATCAATTTTGTCAAAAAAAAAATTAAATTAAACAAAAGCCAAACAATCCCGGAACATTTACTGCGCCAAAAGAAATTTTACAAATGGAAGCCAGGCATTCTAAAAAGTCCTTTCCCGGGAAGCTGGCTAAGATAAGCAGACAGACGATAGCCTAAAATAAGCGGAAACTATCAGTTGGCAAAAAAACAGGTCAAAAACAATAGGCGAAATTTTAAGAACTGAGCAAAATTAGAGCTAAGACCTGGCCATCTGAATTGAAACAAAGGCGAGGCGGCACTGGGCAAGCACATGCGAGACAACAACAAGAAGCTAAAAGTTAAATAAGAAAATGTATAGAAACACGCCTTGAATAAAAAAAAACTTTTGCTATGTGTCGGACTCAAACCTCTCACCTCGAAATTAGGCATCTCACGTCTTCGCATTTGCACCACGGACCCTTGAAAATTTGCCACCATTAGTCACCAATAAAACAGCTACAGATACTTACAAATTGCCGACGCTGTGTAGCAAAAAAGCCATCAAATATGAAAAACTAGTGTTAAGTCCTTTTCAAAAACCAATGTAAGACAAAAAGAACAATTTATAAAGAGGCGAATCTGCGCTTCGCAAACACCAGCGAGGAAAATGGAAAAAGAGCTCAAAAAAGGCAAAACAAAAAGAAATAGGGAAAGGATTAAAATACACCTTGAGAAAAAATTTTAATGAGACTTGGAGTATCACGTTGTCACATCTGCTTCACGGCCGCTTGTAATTTTACTAACACTAGCCACCAATACAGCAGCTACAGTTTCCATCAAATTGCCAATGTTTTGCCGCAAAAATTCGACCAAAAAAATGAAATTATTTAAATGTCCCGGATTAAAATATCTGACCTGTTGATCTTTCAATTGAAGTCTTTTTATCTCAGACTTGGCTGGGTAGTTTTCCATATTCCAAAAATCTATTATTCCTAAATCTGATATTCCCTAAATCTATTAAAAAAATTTCTACTAAAGCATGGGAAGAGCCTGATTTTCAAATTGAAGATTTCTGCACCCTGATTGAGGCCCTAAAAATAAGATTTAGCTAATAGTTTTCGAGAATAGTGACAAAATTTCGTGAAAAATAGTGAAAAAAATAAGTAAAAAAGAAAAAGGAATCTTTCCAAGTCCATATCAGCTTTTCTACAAACAAATGGGGTAAAACAGATTTCGCAAGGAAATTTTAAGCACCATGTTCGTTTGAATGAACTATCAATCTCAGAATCAACAGGCCAGTTTTACAAAAAGTTTTTGAAGAATAACTTTCCAAAAAACGGGCAAAAATTCAAAAATTTGGACATTTTCGAAGGCTTAACTTTTATCAGAACGCAGGGCAAAGTCACTTGCGCAGGGAAGATTTGCATAACTGATAGTTTTTTTTTCGAATAAACTCCGATTTGGCAGAGTAGTTTTTGAGAAAAGACAAAAAGTTTTAAGAATTAACAAATGTCAAACAATGGGCTTGTTTGTGGCCATAATTTATTTTCTACCGAGTTTGAAATACCAATCGAGAAAAGAAGCTCCCCGTAGCCTTTTCTCTTGATTGGAACCCTCATCTCAGATTTAAGCATTTATTACTTGAGAAAATGAAAAAATTCTAAACAGATAAGTCAAAAATCCCTCTACTGAAAATTTTGGAGGCCGTAGATCGTGGGATAAAATGAAAAGGGACTAGCAAAAAATACTGGCACATAGAACTGCAGCCTGTTGTTTCATGGGTACCTTTTTTTTGAAAATTGGTATAGTAAGTTTTGAGAAAAATTGAAATTGCTGCGAAAAAGTCGAAAAGTCTTCCAAAGCGTCGCAAAAAAAACCCAGACATGTTCATAATACCTGTTTTTTTTTTCAAACAGGACCTAACACTAGCCAAAAATAAAGCAGCAACATATGCTTAAATATGCTTATATATGATTAAACAGAAATATGCCAGAAGTGCCACCAAATGAGCACTTTTATTTGCGACTTAGGTTACAAAAAAATTCTTCGTAATACACAACGCTTCGCTTGTATAAAAAATTCTTCGTAAAAACCTACTACGCTTGTGTAAAAAAATAAGTACTTTGTCGACAAAAAAATTTCAGTTAACAATCGGCCAAAAAGTTATTCGACCGTGAATGAGAATAATTTTTCAGATTGTTAACATCCTCCGGTTTCTGCAAAAACATAGCACAATCGTCAGAAAAAAATGACGCAGCTGTGACTAAAACTAATGTGACGAAACAATCAAAAAGTTGAAGTTGAAATTGAAAGGTGGGGGAAGTGGCAAAGAGGTATTTTGATTGGCATTTGATCTAAAAAAAATCGAATATGCCGTGGTGCGACGTGACATATTTTAACTAAGCGATGAGAAACAGTGGATTCAAAAAATCCCGTGTTCAATTCCAAGCTTCTAATGGAAATGATCTGCAAAACAAAGAGAGAAGTCACTTGAAATAATTTTCGAAGTCCCGATAAGCCCAAAGAAAAAAATACCAAAAGAAAATTAGAAAAATGACCGCTTAACTCTTTCAATTTGAAGAAACTGCTCTGATTGACTCTTATGGTTTGATAAACAATGGAGGCCAGCTAAAGCTGGAAATACCTGTTTGATTACTTTTTTGAATTTTTTATTGATGCGGAAGGACAAGGGTAATTTCAAGAACAGACCTATAGCAAAGAAAAGTAAATCCAAATTTAAGAACTTCATAATTTGTTAATTTAATCAATTACTTCAGTTTTCCGAGGGTCAATCTTTTTTTGGTGTAACAAAATTGGGCGTAACCACTTATACAGTGGAGCTTCCCACAACCCGTTCTTCACACTGAAACCAATATCTCAGAATCGGGAGAGTAGTTTTTGAGAAAAGTCAAAAAGTTTCAAAAAACAGTCATAAATTAGACTTTTCTGAGTGTCATAACTTTTTGTGAAGCAATTTGGGCGTAACACCTTATGCAGGAGAGCTACACACCCGTTCTACCTTGAAACCAAAATCTAAGATTTGGTAGAAAGGTCAAAAATTTTGAAAAAAGGTTCAAAAAATCGAAAATTGACTTTTCGGAGGGTCATTACTTTTAGTGTAAATTTTTTTAGCCTTTTCGTTTAAACAGCGGAGCCGCCCACAATCCATTCTACTCATTCATTGGAGGCTAGTTTTCGAGAAAAAGTGAAAAGTTTCAAAAAACGTAATTTTGACTTTTCTAAGGGTCATAACTTTTTGTGTGAAAAAATCAAAACGTAATCATTAAGGCGGCGGAAATTCCCACAACCCATTCTACTCATTGAAACCAGAACCTTTGGGAGTGTAGTTTTCCAGAAAAAAAAAGTTTCAAAAAATGTCAAAAAATCGAAAATTCGACTATTTTGAGGGCCATAACTTTTTGTATAAAAAAATTGGGCGTAGCCGATTATGCAGTTGAGCTTTTCAAACTTGTTCTATCCGTTGAACCCAAAATCTCAGATTTGGACGGGTAGTTTTTGAGAAAATGTTAAAACTCCAAAAATTTGGGTAGAAAATTCCCCCACACTTCGAAGGCTGTAGAAAGTGCGGTAAGGTAAAAAGAGACTGGAGGAGTATGCACGCACATAAAGGACTGGCCGGACGTTCCATTGATACCACTCTTTTGAAAATTGGTGGAGCAGTTTTTGAGAAAAACTAAATTTTTGAAAAAAGTGAAAAATTTGTCCAAAGCGTCTCAAAAAAGAATCATAAAAAATCCGATCCCAATAACATTTTCATAATACCTGTTTTTATCAAACAGGAGCTAATGTTTTTAAAGAAAACCCGATAGATAGAAAAGTTTGCAAACCTTGTGAGTTCTTGAAATTGAATCTACTTTTGAAGCTTCATTTATACTCTATTTTTGCTACGTTTCAATTTTTGTTATCGGAGTGTATTCTGAATTGCTTATGAAAAATGAATTCGAAAATCGAGCTCCAATAGAATTCAAAAGTCAACAAGCCAAAAAACAAACGTGACCGAAATAAATGAAAATTCACTTCGTTTATTAACAACTTAAAACGAAAGGACAAATTAAGCTACAGTGTTGCTTTGGATTACAATTTCCAAATTAGTAGTTTAAACTCGAGAGATAAAATAGGTACCGATTTGACTGTCTTTGAGGCTGTGATAATGAGCTAGCCGCATTGTCCTGGGGTCAAAGAACATGAGGTATTGATATGATCCACAACAGTATAGGTTGTGCTGCTCAGAGTAGCACAGAGTCACTGTCTCCTGACACCCCAACAACTTCTCAGAACTTATCTATCAACAAAAGCAACAATTAAATTCCATAACTTACTAGTAACAAAATATATAGTGGACGATGTTGATCATAGGTGAGAAAAGTTTAGAGACAACATTAATTATTACCACTCAGGGGCAGATATCTATGATTTCCTCGAGAAGATGGCTGATTTTCATAACCGGTCAGTAAAAATGGAGGTCCTAAATTAAACCAAATGGGAACTCTGCGTGGAAAGGTGACCGAATTCTTTGGGGGGAGGGGGAGCAGGCGGCGTACTGATGGGGAGATGATCGAAATCTCCCCTAAATCTGCCCCAGATTATAACGCTCATTTGTACAAGCAGACAACACCACTAACCTGTCGCAAATGTCCTGGATCCCAGGTGTGAATGTAACCGTTAAGCGAAGTAACTGCCAGTTCACTTCGTTTGGCATTGAAGGCCATGGCACGCACTCGGTCACTAGTCTGACACAGTTTCTTGGCCACTGGGTCAACGGAGCAGTAAAAAGGCAAATCGGCATCGTCACATCCGCCAGATCCAGAAGAACACGCCTCAAGGTCCGAGGGAATATGCCACATGCAAAGGTAGTTGTCACGACTCCCTGTCAATTGAGACTGACTATAGATTTTTTATTGCGTTTTTTTTTTTACATTTCGTAGCTCTTAAATATGGATATTGAACAATTAGTAGTTAGTTAACGGAAAAAACACAGTCTAATTCTCTTGCCATCACATTTTTTAGAGGCAAAAAAACTTAATTCAATTTTTTTTGTATAAACAAATCCTTATCTAGTATGAACAGTTTTTTGGAAGGAACAAGTGAAAACTGTTTTTACTTACCAGTGACTAAGAATTCGTCGTCCATCCAAGATCCACAAAAAATCCAATCACTGTGACCACTCTAAAAACCAAGCTAAGTGAGCACTACTACCTCCAAATTCATACTTTCCAAGAAATATCTTTTAACTGATTTTCTAAAACAATGCATTGTTAAAGCAATTTTGGCGAAATTTCGCAAACGCAATTAATTAATTCTCTAAATTTTTGAAAAAAAAATGCTTTCAATTTTGAGAAAATTACGCGATTCGGCCAATAAATGACATCAATTTAGAGAAAAATAGTGAGTTAAGTTTGAACTTGCCTCTCCAAGAGCGAGCGGATCTATCTGAGGTAGCGAGTAGAAGGCAACGTCATTTGGGTTCTCACCGCCTGTGGCTATTCTAGTCTCCGACGGATTGACTGCTATGGTGTGAATTCCACAGTTGGAATTGTACTGGTTGTTCCTCGACTGCTGCTCCAAAGACCCTTCTTTTAACCGGCGGCGCTTCAGAAGAGGTATCGAGAACTTGCTCTGGTTATGTACATTCAACACATTCAGCTAAAAAAATAAATAATGACACTTCAAAATCCTGGTGATCATAGAGATTTGACTTGATTGACGAATAAGATTAGCAAATCCAAATTCAGGGTTACTGACAGGGAAGCTATAAAATTGATAAATTATGCAAACAGATAGATTTTGCTCAATGTTTGGTTATAAATTTCCGGCTTGAAAATCTAATTAGTATTGTCAACTTTTGAAAAACTGAGGGACATTAACGCTAACCTGATTGCACTTTGTTCCGAACACAATTTCGCTATGTGAAATCCACTTAGATGCGAAGATCTTATTCGAGTTTGGAACTGTGACTGGCACCTCTCGCATCGTAAGCGAAGAGTAGTTGCGGAAGATGGCACACTTCTGCACCTCTTTCGAGACACTCGCCAGACCCAAGCTCCTCTTTTGGACAAAGTCATATAGTGTCATTTATTTATCGCTTGTGATGCTCAAAACCAGGCTTTATAGAGTTTGCGATTGAGAAGCTTGTTTTATTCAATCAACAGCGGAACCACAAAAGAACTCATCAAGTATTCTCTCTTGATCCTACGCAATCATCCATATGATTGCAAGGAAGAGATGGCTTTTCGAGATCGTTATGAGCGTTCCATATTTGACTCTGAAAAAATCAAGTTGCCAAATTATATCTACGAAACAGATAAAAAGGAGCTTTTCATTGCTTTAATATGAAAGCTAATGATATTTTAACAGGAACTTCTTCAAATTGAGTTCCGATTTTTCAAATGTATTAAAAAAACTCGTTGACATCTGAAGGTACTGATATGAATAGGCAACAAAAAAATCTCGCACAGAGAATTGTTGGTTACTTTCAACAGTGAAGCGAATCGGAGCTTCGCAACATTTGCGATACAACACAATCATAGCATTATTAAGTACTTAAAAATTTGTTTTAATTAATCTTTATTTTGAGGACAATATATCACAGAACACAACCAAAAAAAACGTACCAGGTGGCAAATGAGCCGGCAACACTTCGGCAGTTGCCAGTTGAGCCGAACACAAAATGTCATTTTAAATAAAGAAATTATACAATTGAAGCTTAGCGCTCCACTCATTAAAAACACAGGGAAGCATAACAATCTGTTTTTGCAGCTTAAAAGAGGCAAACTGGAGTGAACAGAAATAATATACTATAAGCCGAACTTATTTCAGTGGAAAAAAAAAAGAAAACGAAACAATTTTACAAAATCAAGTTCGTCAGCTTACAAACTACAGAGCAGAGTTTCAATTAGGGTTAGAGTAGCTAAATTAAAGAAATATTGATGCTTTCAAGAAAATCATTCCAGGCTTTGAACAGTTAGCCGACAAAAAATGAGTAGACAAACCATAGTCTGACAATTCGTTATCAAAAAAAAATAATTTCACCAAAAAAGGCCCGGCCGGACTCAAACACTAGGACCATATTTTCAGAACTCGCATGCTTTTCCTCTCGATCAGGGCCTCCCTGAAAGGCGACCAAGTTCTAAAAAGGCAAGCTATACTCACTCAGGGAGATAGATACATGGTTAAGCAAAAAAGAGTGTCCGGCCTCGAAAAAAAAATTGTGTACGGAAAAAATCTGATTTTCCCAAGTGAAATGATTATGTTCCAATCAATTCTTTCGGCCAAGGTTAAGAATTTTGAAATTACTGATACTGTCAGTTTTCGGCCAGTTCTGATGAACTGCTCTGAAACCGGGGCGCAGACCAAGACGATGCCCAGCTCTCTTGAGAGTGCTGATACGAAATCTCTGCGCAGGATTACAGGAGTCACTTTAAAGGCAGAGTTACCAACGAATCAGTTATTAAAATGACAGGCCTTGTTGATCTGGACAAGCAACAAGTGTGTTCACGGCTACTATAGTTTAGCCATGTTCACCGAAGAGAAAATTACCATGCTCTAAAATCAACAGACCATGTTTCAGTCCCAGGGTAAAAACCAGCAGGAAGACCTGAAAAAACGCTCGATTGTGTTAAACGGGACCTGAATACTGGAGCCTCAAACCCACAGACTGCTTCGATAGAATGGCAAGAAAAACGTAATATCTTCCATTAAATAGCTTGAGTGCTATTCAGAATATCCTCATCTGAATGCTGAATTTGTCAATATTCTAGCTATCCAGATATACCATTGCTTACGCACTTTCCGAAAGTCTAACTCCATCACAATGGGAAAACGGACAATAAACGCATGCATGAATAGTGGTTTTATTTTTCGTTGAAAGAGTTTCCGAAAGAAAACAAACCCATTAATTTCAGTATCGAAGAAAAACATGACTTTTAATTAATTCTAACAGAAAGCTCGTACAAACTCAAAAGTTGAATCTGATTAAAACACTCGTGACTCGGATTATCGCAAAAAAAAACAACCGAAAAAACCGTCGCAGTTTTGCGACAAACAGCCCTGAATTTTTCCGTTTTTCTAACTCTCAGATTAATTCTATTGCAACTTTAAGACGAATAGTTAGCTATTATCATCTCTAATTTTGAGCTTTTTACTTAATTAAATCGCCTTTTACTTTAAAAATTTCTCCGTGTGCAGCAACCGGTTATCTTAGCTTTTCAGCAATTTTTATACTTCTTACCAGATAAATCATTTGTTAATTATTTTAAACGACGGTAGAGGTAAGAATGGCAGAGCTGCGAGGCATTAATAAATCGTAGAAAATGGAAAGATTGAAGGATTTTAGAGACGAAATGGAGGGATACGATCCTATAGGAATACGCTGCTGTCCAAGGTCGCTCACGCGGTCTCTATACCGCCTCCTATGAGCACAAATTGAAAAATCATTTCCAGGAAATATCGAGCCAACATTACAATCATGAGCCGGCCGATCTCCCTTGCGCGGTAGACGAAGTAACAATCACATCAGTTGCGATAAAAAAGAAAAATTGAACGAAACGCAATCACTGCTCGAGATTGAGAGGAAAGTAATCAGACGAGAGAATCAGCAGAAGGATAAGACAGTGTGAGAGTACGATAGCTGAGGCTGGCTTGCCCTGAAATGAAACAAAATATCGCCTGGGAGAGGTCAGAGCACCAAAGTGTAACGACATTCTCAAAACAAGATAAATAGTATCTTATCTGTGCACAAGAAGGGATGCAAAAATGATCTCAAAAATTTCAGAACAGTATTTCTGCTGGGCATGGGAAGCTGAACATTAGGTAGGATACTCTCGAAATGGTTGATGAGACGGTCAGAGATCTTCAAATTTTTAGATCGAAATCAGAGTGGGTTCCTCTCAGGCCGTTCAACCATAGATGCAACTCAAAGTCTTCTGAGAATCAGACAGGACGCCTTTGACTGCTAGACTAACGGTCTTTGTAAAGCATATCTGGAGTTAATCTTTTGCTAGATATTAAAAAACAAGGAATGCAAGGTCGCTTGCTAAAACCATTGATGGATCTAAACGAAGCCACCATCACATGTACATCGAAAAGAGGCGAGGTGAAGGCTTTTCGCCAAAAGAAAAAGTTGCTGAAATAAACATGGATATGATCAGGCGCGGATTAAGGAACTTCTCGAGGGGGGGGGGCGGATTTTCAAAAAAAAAAAACTTTTTCTCGACCTTTACGTCAAACAAATTGATTTTCTGAGCTCTTCCAAATCACTTTAAAGACCCTATATTAAGCAAATTGTTCAAAAAACAGGCCAAAAAGGCGTTTTGGTGTATTTTTTTTGGATAATTTCGACCAAAAATTCGCGGTTTTTTTTCGGCGCGCGCTCCCCCTCAAAATTAAAATATATTTGCGCCCAAGGCGCCTTTAGAAAAAATTGGAAATAAGTCATCAAAAAGTGGATATCACAAAACAGTACAAAGGGGGACCCTTTGGATCGACAGGGGGTCGAATCCCTAATGGTAGCGTACCCCCCCTAAAGCCGCCCCTGTTTATAACCATTAGCGGATTTAGAGGGATGAGGGTCGGTCGAGTGCCTGAAGAAAAAAATAGCGAGGCATTGTTAGAGGCATCTTAGGTGAGGCAACGAGACTAGTCTGAGTATTATGACAAATGAATTTTTAAATACATGCAGAACTTGTAGCTCAATTTGATCAGCTTAAAAAATTTTGCGCTTTGATCAGCTTAAAAATTTGATCAGCTTAAAAAATTTATTAAGGAAAAAGAAAGCATCAGCGATATTCTTTCAAAGATTCAGTTATAAGTGACAACCCTCCACTGTACCATTTGATACTGTGATGCATCAAACTTTCTAAGCAACGATTTTGAAACAGCGCCTCAGGGGAAATATTTTGAGATCTTATCAAGTTTTGTCAAGTACAAATTGAGAAAATGAAAAAAATATATATCATCGATCATGACAAAATGGCACGAGGTCATCAATAACTCCCAAACGAAACATCGCAGCAATAACTTCAAAATCAGAAACAGAAGTTACGGAAACGCTAAAAAAAATTTCAAACCAAACAAAGGAGTGGTGAACTTCAACAGACGGAGCACCTGAAATTTTCACGTCACGGCGTCATCAATAACTCCCTAACTCTACTACAAATTAAACCGAAGGAGGGGGGTACTGCAACAGAGACGGAGCAACTGATATTTCAGCACATCCAAAAAAACCTAGCAGAACAGAATTTCTGCATAAATTAAAGATCTGCTCCAGAAAATTTTTTTAAATGATCTTGTCAAGCAGTATGCTGCTCTTCATCAACGTTCAGCACTAAAAATCAAAACACTCAGAGCAATCTTCTAAAATCTTGACGATCTCAGCAGACCAGGCTTTAAGAAAAACCCAGAAACGAGGAAACAGACAAACGAAGAAACATACGGAAAAAGACGGAAAAACGTTTGAGTTTTTGTAAGATCTTATTATTTTGGACTAATTTTTTGTTCCAATTGAACTAAGTTTACTCCACTGAAGACTGGCATTTCAATGACACTCCTGTTACAGAACTCAACCCAGACTGTGCAATGCATCTTCATCAACATCATATTGATTTCTCAATTATTTAGCAACAGACTTCAAACTCTCCTGGGCATTGGACGCGATGCAGTACATCATTGAGCCAGAACTTTTGCAAGGATCCCAAAGTACACCTTTTGGAACACTAAACCTCCCAAGTTGGACTATTACCATTCCAATGAACAAGCAACGACAGAAGGTTACGGAGAAAACTTAAATTCTTTTGCATTGCTACAAAGAGTCACTAGCAATCCTGAGTGACGATCGACCACTAAAAGACTTCGTTACAAGTTTTTGTTCTGTCCAGTTTACGGGAATTGAAAGCGAAGACCCTAAACTTTCTTCTGTTAGTGAAAAACATGCAAAAAACTCCATGAAACCAGACGACATATAAGTGACCGGTACGAAATCGGTCTTTTGAGGAAGGATTAAGTTACTTTTCCCAACAATTACAACTCGGCTAAAGCAAACCTTCTTATCCTCCGATAACGATTGGAGAAAGACCCACTTCTCTCAGATGTACCATAACACTCTAGAAACAGACATTGAGGATTACTACCTAAAAAGCGTCGTTTTCTGCCACTTAACACCAAATCGATTATGGTACCCTCCCCATCATTCTGTCTGAAACGCAAGCAAACCGGGAAAAATTCCAAGATTTCCAATGCAGCATCACTTTTTCAAGCAAAATCTCATTAACAAATTGATTGGTTTGCTCCTGCGGTTTCCCGAACACCGTAGCGCTGTAACAGCAAACGAGGAAGCCATGTTCATGAAGACTGCTATCATGGAAAAAGATCAACCCCCCTTTTCGTTTTTTTTTGTGGCCAACAACGACCGCCTTAAAACAGTATCAATATACCGCTGATTTTTGGAGCGAAATGCTATCAAAAACTAATTTCGTTTTACAGCAAACAGTTAAGGGCTTCGCACCGCTTGACGAAATTAACTCAAACAGCTTGTACATGGACTCCTTTTGCACTCATTTCGGAATGAAAAAACTGCAATCATGTCTTCAAAGGGTCTTAATCTACACTTTAAAAAGGTGGATTCAACCTGGCAAAAATTGTTTCCAATCAATCAAACATCGTAACTTATCTAGTTAATAAACGTGACACAGACGAATCAAACCATTCGTGTCTTCGTGTTATGTGGAATAAAAACAAAAAACTCTTCATACACCAAAAATCTTCGACCTTACAGGAAATAATAATACTATACGGAAAATCCCATCGTTGAACGCTTGTTTATTCGACCCTCTTGATATCATCGCCCCATAAGTGATAACAGTGAAGATTATCCTCGAAGACAATAGCAAAGAAGGCCATGCATGGTATGAGCTAATTCCGAAAGACAAATGCCAACAACTTAAAGTTTGGATTGACAGGTATCTAGCTTCTCCTTCCATCGAAACCCCAAGATATTTCAGTTTGAAATCTCCTTCTTACCCAATTTATCAATTACACGTCTTCACCGACGCCTCACAAGTTGCTTATGGCGCAGTGATCTACACTCGTGTTTGTATCAATAATCAAACCTCGTGCTCCTTTTTGATAAGTCGGGCCAAGCTGAAATTCGAGAAAAACTATTACTGAAAACTCGAAGTTTATTAGGGGAAAACTCAACCCTGCCGACCAAATAACACGTAGTCTTTAACCTCAAGATAAAAACACGCGGTTGAGGCCACGAGGTTGAGGCTAACACGCGGTTGAGGCCACCATATTTCCTTCTACACGATGAAGAACAGTGGTTTACACATACATCAAGCGAAACGACGAACTCAATGAACAAAGCATTTACTTTATAATCAAACATCGATGTAACAAGATTTCTTATCCGACGGAACTTATCCGCGCAACGCAAATGTTTTCCAAATTAAAGAGTTGGTTATTTCTAAAATTTGCCGCCATTTGCATATCAAAGACTTCGAAAGGCACGTGACCACCTGTTCAAAGTTCCACAACAAAATTCTTTTGGCCAAGATATTAGACATAGGAAACAACAGACCCTACCCATATAAAACAAATTGTTGCAACTAGTTCCATTTGTCCACAACGAGCTACTTCGTGTTGGTGGGTGAACTAAACGCAGTTCGTTACCATTCAGATCCAAGCATCCAACCATTCTTATTGCCAAAGAACTCATAACACGTTTGTTTTAAATAAAGTGTCCCAAAATTTGCATTCAACTTGGAACAAATACATCAGAAATTTTGTTCAGACGTACTACGTGTTTGGTATTTGAGACGGTTTACGGATCATTCCGTTCAGATGCTTCGTCTGTCGAAGATTCGCAGGTAGAGGCCTCGAACATCCAATATCAGACTTTCCTGCCATCAGGTTCCCACAGAGCGAATTATCTGTCGCGTTTTCTAATTACAACCTCGATTACATTGGACCGTTTACTGTCATGCGGAAAAAAGAAGAACATAAAGCTTACATCTGCTTGTTTAACTGCATGGTAACAATGGCAACTCACTAAGAAACTACCAAGGAATTGACTACAACCACATGCATTTCCGTTAGTCAAAGGTTCATTTCCCGTCGTGGACGACCAAGAGTTTTATTTAGTGACAACGGTTTAAATTTTCCTTGCTACACACAATTACGAAAGAAATTGCTCTCTATAGAACAAGAACTTCTGAAACACAACATGCTGAAAAATTCAGTTGAATGACGCCTCAAAGCTTCCTCGGCTCCTCATTTTGTCGGCGCGCGGGAGAGACTCGTTCGGATTGCCAAACAAGCTCATCTCATGAACCTTGGCTCAGCAAAACTGACATGGGACGTTTTCACTACGATTGTTGCCGAAACAGAAGGCTTCACAAACTCAAGGTCACTAACCCATGTACGAAGCCGTAATAAAGACGAAGATGTTTTTCGCCCTGTCCAGGCCTTGCTACTCCTTGCCCGACCCTCCTTCCTGAGCTGCCCTACCCTGCCTCGTCCTGTCATGCGCTGCCCTACCCTGCCCCTCCTCGGCCTGCCCTGCCGCTCCTCCTGCCTTGTGCTGAAATAGTTCTCATGCACTGCAATATAGCTTAAACATGCAAAGCCTCGTTCGTTTCTGAAGCTTAAGCATGAGACATATGGTATAGCTTAAACATGGGGAGATAGCCCGACGCATTTGAATATGAAAAAAGATAGATAGTTATAGACTGAGATTGGATAGCACGGGGCAGCAATGTAAATATAGCCTGCATATAAAACATGTACAGATAAGATAGCGTAACAATCTTCAACAAGTAAACTAGGCTAAACCATAGCTAGAAATGTCTCGCCCAATTAAATATTACTAGCGGCCCTGTGCAGCTTAAGCTGCTCCTGACAAATGACAGCCTTTATGTTAAGCGGAACGATTCTAAAAACTCAGATTTTTGTAGCAGCAGCAAACTCATGTGACTGGTGGCATGAATCGATGAAGGTAGGGCTGGCCGTAAAATGGACTGATATATTTATGTAACGCTTGTATGTCCCTATCGAATGTGCACTGACCGTAACTACACGGGAGGGTCCCTAATCTGAAATACCCTTTATATACTTTGTTGCACTTTTCATAAAACTTCTTCATAGCAAATGTTAAAAAGCCAACTTTAAAGCAGGTATCTGACCAGCGAAAACTCTGAAGTTAATGCGATGTCTGAACTGAAAAATGATTTTACGTTTAGACTCTTTTCATCACAGCAAGACAAATTGAATTGGATAAATTTCTGTGATAATTATAAGTGGAATAAATTTCGCCAACCAGAAAAATATATGTATATATTTTCATCATTTCGTATTTACATTTTAACACCAAGTTCATCACTTTAACACCAAAATTAAGTACGGTCATTGAGTATTGACAAGACATTGCTGACAAATATTTTCACGCGTTTTTGAAAATACAATAGAATCGATGGTCTAATTAAAAATAAATACCGATTTAAACTTTATTGCATCAAAGCTTGTCAACAACTTGTTATTGACATCACCATTAATTAATTTTTTTCCCTTTGCGATATGTCAAATTCAACGAGGTAAGTCGCTTTCAATTTTTATATTGGGATTCAGTCTTGGGTTCAACATTGGATCTTGATTGTCATCTGGGTTCACGTAATGACTGAGCGTTTGTAGTATTGCTACAGCCGTCAATACAAAAAGGAATAAAAAAGCGGCATAAATTCCAAATCGCGCGAGTTTACGCGACGGAAGCCTCTGAGAAGAAACCGACAGATTTATCTGATGTGCTTTGAGAAGATTGGATATGAGCGTGAAAATACTTTTCCTGGCGTATTTGTTTTCATCGTTGTCTGTATGCTGGCCCTTGGCGATGAACACTTCTGATTCAATTCTTGTGGATCGGTCTGAATTTTTCTCACGGAATGAAGATTCAGGCGATGACGTTACTTGGTTGGTAGGCATGAAGGCTGGGTGGTGAGTAACGATGTTGACGATTTCACTTGGATTGGTATCATTATCGTCATTTTCTGTTTCATCTCCATGGTTTTTCTCGCGCTCGTTCGCGGATTCATTTTTCATCTGATACCGGTCATTCGTAGCCTGGTTTTCAAAGAGAGGCAGTCCAAGTCCTTCTCTTGCCCATGTTTTATTGCTCAGGTATGAACGCAGGGCTTCTGATACAGGGCCGCCCTGGTGCCGAGGGGGAAATAATGGTTCAGAGCACGTATTGCAGACAAAACCAGCCGGAGCAGTATTGTGGGGGAGTGTCGAATAATACTTGTCCATACAAGCAGCGTGAAAAACATGGTAACATAACAGTCTCACAGTAGGTCCGGGATCGTCTTCAGCGAGTTTAACATCACATAAACCGCAGACTGGGTTGTAATCGCTGTCTTCTAGCCACTTCAGATACGATTGCACAATACATTTCGAATGATTCGCCACAAGGCAATGTTCGCACACATTAACTCGATGTTCGAAACAGAATAAATTGGTTACTGTCCTCTTCGGACATTTACACAGCCCCATGCTTAAACTGAAACTAGGACAAGATAGCAACCTTTTTACTGCTCAACTATGTGATACACAGCCCCATATTGAAATTTAACTTCCTATTGAACGAATGCATCTTGAGTTCTATTTTTCCGAATAAGAAACAAAGTGTTGCTGCCAATTTACAAAAAATTACAAAAAATTAGAAGCTTAAAAAACAGACTGGTCTCAGTCACCACAGTTTTGTCAAAAACACTCGAGAAAATTCTTCATAAACAGATATTTTGAATCTGGAAAAACACCATCTCATAAATCCCATACAATTTGGCTTCAAACAAAGATATTCGACAAAGATCCGATTCTTTACTTTCCTGAGCCAACACGAAAAAGATTTCCTGGCCAAAAAAAACTGTTCATTTTGTTCTACTTGATCTCTGTAAAACCTTTGATTCGTTAGCGCATAAAATTTTTATAACTAAATAACAGTCAATCGATTTTTCTAAATTCGCACTTCAGCTGATCCGAAGCTTCGTACAAAATAGGTTACAAAAAAGGGTCCGTTCATGCGACGGTCCGTGCACAGGTTGTAAAGAGCGGTGCGTACCCAATTTTCAATTCAAACAAACGTTTTTGTACATCTTCAGGTTTTAAAAATCTTAACTATCTGTACAAAATGATCAAAGATCATAAACGTGTCATACACGTCTTTATTTCAAAATTAAAAAAGTTTAGCCAATCACAAATTCACAATTAGTGCTATGAATATTTAACAACTATTATGTAACAATTTTATTCATTTAGTCACAAAAGAACAATCAGGGGTGAGCCGATTGTGTTCTCGATGCTGCCAATTCTCTTCATCCAAATCTGCAATTCATTCTAGAGAAAACTAATTCAGAGGGAAATTTTCCGTTTCCGATCAAAAATGTATCGCCGGATAGGGGTGCAACCCGCAATTGGTATCAAAAACCAACGAAGCTTTCGAAATATCCGGGATACTGCTCAGCATATTGATGACATGCCTGTTCGTCTAGTTCTTAAGCTATTTTTTGCTAGTTCTCTATTTTTGTAATATTACAGCCTTTTGCCATTATTCGAGTATGTGTGCAGCAAGAACTCCAAAAACCCTAAACTTTAAATTTAACTTAAATTAAACGACAAAATGATGTAAGTTATAGTGAATAAAACCAATCTTACAAACGATAAAAAATAATTTAACGAAGCTTAAATTTTAATTTGCTTGTGCGAGGAGGACGAGATACGACGTTCACAGACATTGAATAGATAAATTTGAATTTCTCGAGGTAGCAATGGTTGCCTCGCTCTGAATGTCAACCAGGAGATATCATATTTTCAAAACATCTTCGTCAAAGAACCTTCTGATAGCAGATTCGCAGGCGCGACAGTTGGAATTCCCAAACACAAACATCTTGTCTCTAGAAATATCAAACCGCAGGCGCCCCTTTTTAGGGATCCACAGGTTTGCATATTTCATCGGAACGCATCGTACCGCAGTCGACTCTTCTCGGGAATCACAGATCCCTCTGTAAAGTCCCCCTCTGTTAACTCTTCAAAGATGAGTCGCACATGCCGAAATTGCACAAGGTCCATACCGAAAGCCGAAAAAAGTTACAACTGTGTAGCGTGTGGTTGTCACATGCATCAAAATCCAACATGCATAGGATTATCAAACGTAGCCATCAACGGAATAAAGGAGCTTGGTCGCTACGCAATGTTACTCTGTAACGTCTGCCTTGAAAACAACGAACGCAACAAGTTCATTCGGAACAGGACTGTCAACAACCTGGGAGAAAAAATCAACAAAATCATGTCTAGCAATGCTGAGACACTCGAAACGCAAATTGCTCAAATTGTCGAAAAGAAAATAAACGAAGCAATGAGAAAAACACACGACAAAGTAGACGAGAGTCACGCAAACGTCGTGAAGAAAGTTGAAAGCTACAAAAACGTGAATAGTCCTCAAAACTCCAAAAACAACAACAACACAACCACTCACAGCATCGAACACAATGTAAGAGTGCAAGGGATCCATGAGGATCCTAATAAACCACGCGACGTGAATCTTGTCCAAACTCACGAAAAACTAGAGGAAACTTTGGGAACCATAGGAGTTAAACCGAAAATAGTCCAGTTTAAAAGACTTGGAACATTCAACAAAGAAAGGAAAAAGCCAAGAACACTTCTAGTTACGCTTGAAAATCCAGCAGCAGTCAATCTAGTGATTGCAAAAAGTACTGAAAAAATAGACGAAATGAAAGAAATGAATATATTTCTGTCACGTGCCCTATCTAAAGAAGATTCTATCAAAGAAAACTTCTGCCTGAAACGACGTAGGGAAATGCTTGAAGAAGGCGTACCACGTGAAAAACTGAAAAATAAGAAACCTTGAGCTTTTCCATGATGGAGCAAAAGTTCAATAAAACCAAACTTCCCAGCCAGAACAAGAAAATGCAACATCCAACGTTTTACAATTTAATGCACGCAGTTTAGTTAACTATGAAAGAATATTCAAAATGGCAAATGCAATAAAATTGGTTTGTACAGCGTTATTTGTATTTGTGACACCTGGTTAAACAAAAATATCTCAAAATCTGAACTACTACTTGCTGAAAACAACATTTACCGAGCAGATAGAGCACATCAGTTGTCTAACACTCACGGAGGTGCCCTGATTGCCATTAAGAACTCACTAAATTCCCAAAAAAAAATATTCGACGTCGAATGTTGTGTCCTATTTAACATAACCCTAGCAAACGAAACCATCTATATATGCTTCTTTTACAACCCCCCTTGAGCCAGTCAATACAGATATGACTACCAATGTTTCAACAAAATTCTCGAAGCCATCCCTAAAAACAGTAAAGCAGTCATATGTGGAGACATTAACTTTCCATCTACAAACTGGGACATCTTGAGCAGTCAAGAAAACGATGAACAAGAAATCCTAGAAATGTTAGAAGATAGGCTTCTTCAACAGAGCATTAATTTTCCGAAATGCGGTACAAACACGTTGGACGTTTTTCTGTATCAAAACTGTCAAGTATACTCTGAACATGATGAAAATTTTGATAAGATCTATGACTGCTCTGACCATATTGCAATCAGAACAGCAATAGAACTTGAACATTTCGATCCTCCCCCAGCAATGACAAATTTCTACAGTTTTGGGTCAGGAGATTATGACTGGATTTTTGATGCCATGGAAGATTGGCCTTTCAACCCCTAATGCTACACCAATGTTGCCAATATGTACAACGAACTTCAAGAATACTTAACCGACTTGATAGACACTCACATCCCAAAAAGAACCAAACATCGTCAATCGCTACCACCTTGGATTACACCGAGTAAATCACATCAGATGAAAATGCTCAACACGCAAAAGAGATTACTCGAAAAAGGACCAGCTAGCTACCGAAAAAATAAGGTCCTCGAACTAGAAAGCCAAATCACTGAATTATGTGAACATGATCGAATCTCATACCAAGAAAAAAAATTTTGGTTCAAGAAATTGTGGTCAAAATTACAAGCGCCTTAAGCATATCAATAGAGCTTCGAACATCCCGAAACCGATCAAATTCAAAGACAAAATGACATCAATTCCAGAAGAAAAGGTAGAAATGTTTACCACATTTTTTCACTCAGTGTTTTCAGCCAAAGAGAACTACAACTTGCTTGACATAAAGTGCGAATCACCAACCCTATCAAATTTCAGTGTTTCAAACAAAACAATAAGTAAAATTCTGGCAAATATAGACACTACAAAAATTCGTGGACCAAATGGTCTACCTCCCGGGTTTTACCAACGATGCGGCAAATAAATGAGTAATATACTCAAAAAAATTTTTCAAGAATTTGAAACACATACGCCAAATGGCAACAAGTTGGAAAAAAGCGGCTGTAACACCCATTCACAAAAAGAACGACCCAAAAGATGTTGAAAACTATCGCCCAATCTCCCTTCTAAACGTTGACAGCAAAATCTTTGAAAAATACACGTACTCTCCACTCTACGAGCACTTTAAAGACCATCTTTCCATAAACCAACACGGTTTTGTGAAGAAACGCTCCGTTATGAGCAACATGCTCCAATTCCTAAATCGAATCTACAAAGCCCTGGATGAAAATCCCCATGATGAGATCATTGCTTTTTATGCTGATTTCTCCAAGGCCTTCGATAAAGTCCCCCACAATATATTATTCCGAAAATTGAGTGATATTGGTGTAGGTGGATGCCTACTCGAAATCATCTACGACTATCTCAGAAACCGAGGGCAATTTGTTCGGGTTGATTTCTACACATCCATCGACCTCGAGATAACCAGCGGGGTACCCCAAGAATCACTCCTGGGTCCACTCCTGTTCTGTGTTCTTATAAATGATCTCCCTGAATTCTACGCTTCAGTGACCCCTCAATTTTTGCTGACAATCTAAGAATTCTATCTGTTGGACGCAAACAAGATGAAATACAACTTGACTTAAGCAAAATCGAAGATTGGGTCAGACAAAACAACATGGAACTGGCATTCAAAAAATGCGCTCAAATAAACCTCAGAGGTGTTGATATAAATCTATTTTTGAACGGAAATCGTGTACTTCAGCCAAAATCTATAAAAGATCTGGGTATTCACATGTTAGGAGATATTAGTTGGAGCACTCATCTAACCGAACGATTAAAGAAAGCAAACAAATTACTATACAGTCTAAGACGAAATGTAGCATATAATGTCAACACCTTTGTAAAACTAGGTCTATACAAATCAATATTACTACCAGTCCTAACCTACGGCTGTCACTGTGCGAACTTTCTGAGAAAAGACCTACAAAAAGTTGAATTTTTTCAAAAGAAAGTAGTAAAGTGGATATGTGGAAAGCACTGCCAAAAATACACTGATCAACTTAGAATGCTCAACATTTTACCTCTACCAATGTTCCTACAGACCAAAGACTTACTTTTGCTTTCAAAACTCCGCACTGACTACGAACACCACAGCATCCCAATTTCCACAGCTAACAATACCCTAGACCGACAATTAGAGCCCTTCAAATTACCCAAAACTTGAACAGAAAAACGCAGGGGAGAATTCGTTTTTCGTACAACCAGAGTTGCAACGATAATTCATCATTTAGTCAATTTCAGGATAGAACAGGGACTCAAACAGCGCATCAGAACTCTTATGTGGAAATTCTGCAGTGAAAAATACAGTACCCTCAACCTCTGCACTTGGCAGATATGCTGCGACTGCACAAAGTGCAAAAATAACTGGACAATATTACAAACTCTGTGGAAGAAAGTCCCACCAGTATTCTACTGGAAAGCCACAACAACAACAACAACAACAACAACAACAACAACAACAACAACAACAACAACAACAACAACAACAACAACAACAACAACAACAACAACAACAGCAACAACAACAACAACAACAACAACAACAACATACTGGGACTATACTGAAGTATAAAAGCTGTGCCCCAACTCAGTATAAGCGTTGTGTTATCCAAGGCACTGAAATCAGTTTTAAGGAGTGCATCTAACTGGGAGCAATTTGACAAGGCTATGGAAACTAATAGGGCGCAATGGCTGACAAATCAGTACACTTAAAATTGGTCCGCAATGGTGGCGGCAGACGCCTTGTGTAAAATCATTGAGGACAAGGGCAAGCCCATGGATAGTGAGAGGGGGTGGTCAATTCAACCACCAGAGGATGTGAGGGCCCCAATGCTGATGGTGCAAAACAGAGGTAAAGAAAGTCAATATTGTGCGAGCAGGTTATGAAATGTAACCAACGTTCAAGTGGTTTTCACCACAAGAAAACTAGAATCATGTTTACAATCACTGAAGTCAACATTTTCTAATGACCTCAAATCAAGAGTGGTTTATAAACTGTCATGAAACGAATTCACTTCCACCTAATTCGCAATAACTGTTCGACATTTGATCACTAGAATTGAGAAACATAAGAAAGCAGACTCACCAGTAGTCCTCCATCTTCAACAATGCAGCCTTGAGGGAGATAGCGCAGATCTTAGTTGGGAAGTTATATTATTTATGTCAAATAACCTTGTAAAACCGTTGACACTAGAGGCAATACATATCAGGAAAGAGAAATCGGGCTTGAACACACGCGATGAGTTTGTGAGCAAAGAGTTAACCTTGAAAAATTAGTCCGGAAACACTTTTGGTTTTTATTTAAATTGTACAAGTCTGAATCAAAATTATGACTCAGAAACTTCCAGACAAATTAAATTAAAATTGTTTAATCAATTTTGGAGGTCAAAAGCATTTTAATCTGAATAGTAATTTTAGAAGTCAACTGTGATTGGGTATTTTTTTTACCATGATGGTTTGGAACTAAAATGTATGTGACTTTTTTTTTAAATATATATAAAATGATGTTTTGTTGTCATTTTGTTTTGATGTAATACTCTAAATCCGAATGAAACCATAATATTTTTTGATGTGAAAAAATTATACAATAATGATCCCCTGAAGGAAACAATTGAAATTGCCTTACAGAAGCTGTACAGCCAGGACTCTCCTCCTGAAATTCATAGAGCAACCACAAAGAGGCTTTTGAATACGGTGGTCAGCGAAGTATATTTCAAGTGTAATGATTCATGGTATGTGTAAGTTGATGGTCTAATAATGGGCGCTTCCCTCGCTTTATTTCTGGAAAACCTGAGGCTAAAAGAGTACAAGTTTGCTCTAAGACAAAAAAACGGTGGGAACGGAGATACAGCCAATGAATGACAAAAACCATTTGTGCCCTTGTTACCGCTGGAAATTAACAATAGATCAAAGGGGGTTGAATGTGAGAGCTGCCGTAATTAGTATGGTCCAAAATGCGGAAAAATATCCGATGATGTGTACTCATCAATAACCGAAATAGTCTGGTACTGTGAAATATGCTGCCGCGCTAAGAACTAGGAGAAGGATACTCCACGAGTGAAATTGATCCTCAGGTATGTGAATGACATTGTTATAACAAATTTCTGAGAGTTTTCAGTTATTTTTGTTTTTACAATCTCGTTTTGTCGCTAAGTTTATGCTAACAAGTAGGCTATTTCAATATTTTTTGTTTAGGCTAAAATTTTTCGATTCTGGAACTATAGCTTGATTGTCAGCTTCCTACTTCTTAATTCGTCGCGCGTGTTAATTGACGGTCTCTCTTTCCTAATATGCAGCGCCTCTAATGTAAGTAACTTAATGCTGCTGGAGGCCTGGTCGATTATCTTCCAATTTAATTCCGACTTACCACTATCACTACTACACTGCCTTTGATGCTGTCCAACTGGGGTATCCGCTTTTTGGTGCTCCTCAATCCTTGTGGTGAGATGTCGGACCGTCTGGAAAACATATATGGATGTCCAAGTGAACGTTCACCCACAACATTTAAGTCTTCTGTACACCACTTTTGATTGCAGTTCACTGGAAAAGGAGGATTTTGAAGAAGGCATACAAGTTTTCATTTTCCTCGTCGTGAATGTTATCTGCTTTGGTAATATCGCGCACTTTTTTTGCTTATGTCTGACTGTGATTCCCTCCATATTGAACCATCAAGATGGGTGGTGTGTCGCTGCTCTAATCACAAGGCTTCTTTTTCTCAGCAATCTTCTTTTTGTCTTTGCCCTATCCGATGATCTTTTTAAGGGCTTGCGATGCAACTCGCGACGATCAATTTTCCGGATATTGGTAATTCAACCACTGTTTACGGTTCATTTCTGTCGTTTTATCATAATCTTCCCATGTGGACTTACTGCGGAAAACCTGGCGAACAGTTCCTTCAATCACACTTATCTTGTACTCAAGGGGGCGCAACTTCTAAAGTTTAGTATGTTACCTGTTTTGTTGGTTTCTGATACCTTCCACAGTTAATTTTCGTTTTTTTTTTTGTCAATACTAGTTTGTAAATCCAAAAATGCCTTTTACCATTTGTGTTTGTGGTCTCTGTTGTGAACTGTAAATTTGGAAGTTTGCTGCCCGTAGCACCTTTTCAGGATCACCCTTCACTGTTCTCACTATATCGTCTACGTAACGGAGAAAAACTAAGCTTGCTGCACTGCCTTAAATTTCTCCTTTAACGCAATTCATTTTCTAGAGTACCAGACGGTTTCACCTAATTTTTGATACTCATCATCCGATATATCACCACATTTTACGTGATATCAGTTCAGACAGCATACTTTTTGACCTCTACTTGACATTCTTATTGCACTCGGGACATATTCGATTAAGATCTTTTCGGGCATAAACGTTTCAGGAGTATCCCTCGATAGTGCAGTTTCGTACTGCTTCAGCCAAAGATTTGCTAAAATAACGGCAAGAGATGCCACCATTGCCAAACCATTTTTCTAACGTACCCTGTTTCATTGCACTTGAAATGGACATGATTAACTACCATTTTCAACAGTCTCTTCATAGCAGTTTTCCTAGCAATTGATGGTGTTTCATCTTGCTCATACGGTTTTCTCACAGCTATTTCCATTGCTTCTTTGAGTTAAACACTTGTATACAAACTATTCACATCTAGAGATGTAATGTTTTCATTGGGCTCAACACTAATGCTCTCTAAAATTTTTCTCGCTTCTAGTGAATTGGTTTGGATGTTTGCGCCCTAAATTTTCTCACAGAATCTGAACTAGAACGGTTCTACAATAATTTTGCTGTAATCTCATCAAAGGCAATAGTTTACTCTTGAGCATTTTACTGATTGCACTCTTAGTCGATATCTTTTTGCAAGTTATGTGAAAGTTTTTCAGGGCATGCCTCAACAAGCTGAACATTTTTTTGTTTGTCCCTGGTGTTCGAGCAATAGAAATGAAATTATATATTTTTTCACCATTTTTCATATAGAAGCTAAATTATTTCAAGTTCAAGTTCAAGTAACGCCAACACAACGTTCAATGCAATAGAAATTTGCAATTAGAATTATTTTACAAACAATATATATTGAAAAATCATTTTTTTAAATTTGGCGAGATGCAAACTTTTCGAAATTAAACCTTTTATTTCAGCAGGGATTGCCAAGGGTACAAAAAATTTTGCATCACAATACAAAGAGATGTTTGAGTATTTTTGAACAATGTTGTCAACAAAAAGGCTAATTATGCAAGTTTGTGTGCATGATTACGTTATACAAATAAAAATTTATTTTAGTATGCAAAGCGAAGTATTTGGAAATTGTTTTTTAAAGTATTTTACTAAAAAATCAATTTCAAGAATAAACAAATTTAATGTCACCTTCAGAAATTGATAATCCTAAAATTGCTCTTTCTGGAAATTTCGTTATTTGCGTTTTTCGCGCATAACAATTTTCCTCATAATTTATGATATCACACCAACTTTTATACTGAAACAAAAAAAAGTTTTTTTTTTCACTTTCCCCCAACATTTCTTTTTTAATTTTGAAAAACAATTGAAACTGGGCATGGAGGACAAACTAATTATTTTGAACAGATTTGCTCTTCATACTTCACGTTTCAAGGTTACACATTTAGCCATGGTTTTACGCAAAAAATTACAAAACACCAAATAAGTTTTTTTTTAATTTCGATTATACCGTTTTGACAGAAATGTATGAAATTTGTATGATCGACACTTTTTGACAGACTTAGTCAACGAATATTGCGACTAGCCTTTTCGGTCTATGGAGGTCAACCCGGTTAACACAAAAAATACTTCAGCAAAAATCAAGGGGTTGAGTGGAAAAGAGCCAATAGAACCATATTGTCAACAAATTGAGAGAAAAAAGCGCAATTGGACAATCAGGGGCGGATATAGGGGAGGGGGCGGAGGGGGCGGACGTTTCTTCTCTCAGGGATTCGACCCCCTGCCCACCCAAAGGTTTCCCCCTTTGTACTACTTTGAGATATCCATTTAGGCTGATGGACCCTAAAATTTTTCTAAACGCGCCCTTGGCGCCAATGTATGCTAATTTTGAGGGGGAGCGCGCGCCCAAAAAAATGCAACTTTGGTCAACATTTTGAAAACGCCTTTTTTGTCTTGTTTTTTTTTAATTTAGGCTGCGGCGCAGAAATCAATTTGGTCGACCTAAAAAAAGGTCGTTAAAATTTCGAAGTTTTTTTGAAAATCCACTCTCCCCTCGAGAAAATCCTAGATCCGCCTCTGTGGCCAATATACGTCGGTGGCATCCCTCACGATGCATTTTCAGTTATTTTCAGCCAATCAGAATTGAGTACTCAAAATTCTACAAGAAATCGACGAAATTTCAATTTAGGCAATAAATTCGGGCCACCAAAACTAAAATTGACTGATTGCAAATTAAGCAGAAAATGATTTTCAAATAGCGTCTGATCTAAAACGCATGAAAGAAAAACTTTTTTCTGCAAACACCAATTTTTAAAAATTGAAAAACAAAACAAAAATTTATTCGAAATTTGCACGAAATATACAGCAGAACTTGCCCTTAAATCTGCGTCTGCTAATTTTGACTTTGGTTTTGCGCAAAAACCATTCAGCGAATAGGAGCGTCTAATGGATTTGATCGGTTAAAAATTTTTCCATCATTCGGTCCCTCCATCATGAGAATAGCCCTCGTAAATATTTGTTTCAACGGCTAAAAAGAAACACGTGCTAAAAACACATGCCTATTATTCACAACGTTACACTCAGCTAAAAAGATGTCGGAAATAGATTATTTGGCGAAAAGACCAGAAGTGACTCAGAAGTTGAGCCAGGCACTGAAGGAACAGGAGCAGAAACGTGCAGAGAAGGGAGCTCAGGGAAAAGCACAGCAATGATCACATTTTTTGAGCAAAAGTTTTTGCCCATGCATCTTCACCCGGGTCGAAACTTTTGCTTAACATGTTGCATAAAAAAGGACTGGATGAGCCCAATTTTTAATACGATAGATCCCCTAAAAGTCACGGAAAAATTGGACCCAATAGGGCCCAATAGAAGCTCAATTTGGCTCTTTTCCAGTTTCCCCCCCCACCTTTCAAATTCAATTTTGAAAAGCTTATTTAGCGTTGTCATAATGCAATGAAATTTGGCGTGGTGAACAAATCGACAATTCGGAACAGATTTGTTCTTCATACTTAACAGCGTAACACCACGCATTTAGCCGTAATAGCACGTAAAACAAACATAAAACTCGGTATTTTGAAAGGTGGGGGGAAACTGGAAAAGAGCCCTCAATTTTTATAAAAGTGTGCTCATTCATTCCGTTCTGCGTCAAATCAAGGACCAAAAATTAGGCTCATTCAGCCCCTTTCATAGAAAAACAATTCTTCCTCGAGGGACTCGAACCGGCTCTTTTCCAGTCCCCCTTTCAAGTTCAATTTTGAAAAGTTTATTTGACGTTGTCATAATGCAATGAAAGTTGGTGTGGTGAACAAATCGACAACTGTGATCAAATTTGTTCTTCATACTTTACAGCGTAAGATCACGCATTTAGCCGTAATAACACGTAAAACAAACATAAAACTCGGTATTTTGAAAAGGGGAAACTGGAAAAGAGCCCTTGAACCAACTCCTTGAGTACCCAAGACCTATTTACCACTTCTATTCTACCAATCCTTAGAGTTACTGTTTGTTTTGGTCTAATCAAACTAAAATAAGGAAACTGAATGAGCGCAGTTTGCTTAAAAAAATTGGGTTCATTCACCTCGTTTTTCTGAAAATTGAGCTCATTCAACACTCTTCAGGGAGAAAAAAAAAGACTAAGTGGGGACTCGGATGGGGACTAAATAGGGACTAAATGTGGGTTGGAAAAAAGCCAAAATCTGATTTCAAAAATCATGGATTCTTTGCCTCTATTCACTTATGTTTTAAATTTTCCAGTTTTTTCCCAGTTGTTTTAAGTGGTATTAAGGCTAAACGTCTGGTTTGAAGTCCAAATCTGTTCACAATTGTTGGTTTTTTCACAATGCACATTTTCATTGCATTATCAGAACGTAAAAATAGTTTTTCGAGCTTGAAATTCAAATGTATGGGGAAGGGTGAAGATTGGTGGTGGAAAAAAGCCGATAACAAATGAAAATTGTATAAAAATTTTTCATGAAGGAGATTTGTAAGAACTTGTACACTTTTTCCATCTGGCACGTTTTATTACAACGTAGATCATGAAAAGCAATTTTAAACAAGGATAGCCCGTTACTGTGCAAACAACACATAATGTTTCGACCATAGTCTTAAACAATACAAATTTTCTTCTTCAAATTATTTGCGTTTTTCCGGGTGTTGTCATAAAGAGTTATTTAGGGAAGAGCCACAGGTTCTTTTGCAGTTCCCGACCCTCTTGTAAAATTACAAGATAAAGCTGTTCAAAAAAAAATTGTACTCTTTCTTCTTTTCGCCCCACATGCGAATTTTCACTAGTAATTTCCCCGTTAACATTATCATATTCCCGGACTTACCAAAAATGATAGGCATACATTTTTCATATTTAGAACAATGCGAATCACAAAATTCTGATGCAACATGATTTTTTTATTTTTTATTTCTCAAAATTTTTTGGAAAAGTTTTTGTTGTCGCCATCAAAAAAATTCTAGTCATACAATTTTCATATATGGATATTGTATGATTTGCATTTTTTGACATACAATTTTTTCTTTTTAGGCTCTTTTTCCTTTTCCCCCACCTCACAAAAACATGAATTTTATGGTGTAACGAAAGACTTTACAAGGTTTGTTATGACCAAATATGTTTGTAATAGCCTAATCAGTCCTTATGTCAATTTTCATAACAATCGGACAATGTGAAAAAAAAAATTTTTGGGAAAAAGGAAAAAAGCCCCTTTTTATTTAGTACGATAACCGAATTTCATGCCAAAACAAGAAAAAAGTTCTCTGAAAGTTTGATGACACCATTTTAGCAAAATGTATGAAATTGGTTTGATTAGTATTTTTTCATAGACTTAGTTTATGGACTTGAATGACTAGCATTTTGGTCTATGGAGGTCAACCCGGAATGTTATGAAAATTAGCATGCGGACTGATTAGACTATGACAAACATCTTTGGTCTTCATACCTAACCTGTAAAACCCCTCGTTGCACCATCAT